TTTGTTACATCTTGGAGTGATGAAGATGATTCCAACGATGAAGATGAAGTAGTCAACCTATGCCTCATGACCACTCAAGAAGAAGTTGAGGCATCTTCTAACTCAAATGAATTTAATTCATTTACTTTTGATGAGTTACAATATGCTTATAATAGGTTGTATTTGGGATTTGAGACCATGAATTCCAAATATACAAAATTAATTTCAAAACTCAAAATTAAAGATAATTTGATTTTGAAAGCAAAAGTTGATTTTGAAAATCAAAATGAAATTTTGAAAAATGATTTAGAGCTTTCAAAAATCAAAATAAATGATTTAGAAAAACAAAATTTTGAGTTAGAAGTTAAGCTTGAAATCTTAATAAAAGAAAAAGAATTAATTTCTAAAAATAACCTATTATGTTTAAATATGGAAAAATGCTCACATTGCCATTATCATGGTCATATGGAACATACTTGTCCTTTGAAGAAAGGAAAATATTTTAAAATTAGACAAGTATGGGTTCCGAAAGGAACAAGGGGTATTGAAACTAACGTTCAAGGATCCAAAGCAATCTGGATACCAAAATCTACTTAAATGTCTCTTGTAGGTTTGTGGGAGCAATGATGATGAAAATGATGATATTCAAGATGCTTTAGCCACACATGAAAATGAATGGGTAACCTCTAAGCTTAATGTTTTTAATTTTAGTTATTTGGTTGCTCATAGGATTTATGCATGCATGAGTTTTGATTTTAAATGATTATGCATTGTTTTTAATCTCATGTATGTTAAAAAATGGTTATGATGAACATTTTTATTTTTTTTATTTTTAGTTCATCATAATAAAATTTTGGTCAAAATTGGTTTTAATGCAAATGATATCTCTCTAAAAATTGATATTAATTTTTCAAAAACTTTGATTTTACAAATTTTAAATTTTTGACCTAAATTTAAATGTTTATGCATGTGATTTAAATGAAAATGATATCTCTCTAACAATTGATATCAGAATTTTCAAATGCATAACATTTTTTGAAAACTTTATGCATATGCACTTAATTTCAATAATTAATATTGCACAAAGTATTTTAGACTTGGATATATTGAATTTCATGTACTACTAACATATTTGTTATTCTTTGTTGAAATTTAATTTTGTTTAAGTGTCAAGTTCTTAAAACTAAATTTTGTTTGGAATGCATTTATTGAGGGGGAGCTTTGATTTTTCAAATAAGTTTTAAAATGTCAAATTTACTACTTACTCTTCAAAGTTATTTTGAACTTCAAAGATTGAATTATTTTTTTATATAAAAAAAGGGAGAGAAGTTTGGTTTGAAAAATTCAAATTCTTAATGAAAAAAGGGGGAGCTTAACATTTTCATATATTTTCAAACAATTGGTAACAATTGATATCATTTTGTTAACAATTGGTATCTTTTTCATTAAACATTTTATTAAGGGGGAGTTTTGCCAAAAACAATTTTTCAAATGTTTTGTTATATCAAAAAGGGGAGATTGGTGAATTATGTTTCAATATAACAAATTTAAAGGCAAAATGTTTTTGGACTTGAATTGAATTTATTCAAAGTTTTAAAAAGGTTTCAAAAATAATTCAAAGTCCATTAAATTCATATTTGAGCAAAAATGCTAAAAGGTGTCAAAGTGCATCCATGCACCCCTGCAGTGCATCCATGCACCTACCACTAGTGCATCGATGCACCATGTAGTGCATCCATGCACTCTATTTCGAATGCAATTAGTACATCAATGCACCCTGCTGTGCATCCATGCACCAAGGCTGCAACGACTAGTTTATTTTAATTTAATGAAGGGGTATCGATGCACCTTGATAGTGCACTGATGCACCATGTTATGGGCAGCCTTTTTGAGTAGATAAATCATCCCCAAACGGCTCCAAAACATCCCCAACAGTTATATACGACATCAAACACATTCCAAGCTATAAATACAAGCTAAGAACACTTAAAGAAGTAAGAGAACAACTATCCAAGCAATCAAACACAAGAGAAGAGTTTTTCATTCTTATTTCATCTTTCTCTTGTAAATATTTTGTTCTTGTGAGCTCAATCTTGTAAACACATACCTTAGAGAGGTTTTCTTGTTTACATCTTTTATCCTTTTGTAAAGAGATTTTGGTTCTAGCTAAGCCTTGCAAAGGCTAGAGGAAAGGTTCTAGTTTAACCCGTGAAATATTAAGGAGTTGTAAGGTTACTCTTTGTCCTCAAAAGAAAGAACAAATTAGTGAATTTGTTGGAAACCCTTGGTGAGGAGCTAAGGTAGTGGACGTAGACTTTGTTTGAGAAAATCAAACCACTATAAATCGATGTGCAATTCTCTATCTTTCAATCTCCTTACTCCCTAAACACAAACATCGTTCCCACCCCACTTTGCAAGCTCTTCCGGTTGTCGATTCGAGCTTCCGAAAATCCCAACAAATTTTCTTCCCCAAAACTATTTTGAGAGAAAAACGGTTGAAGGTTTTGTGTGTGTGTTCTAAAAAACTACTAGACCTAACACACACACTTTTATAGCCAAGTTACCCTAATCATATTAGGGTTTTATTATTTCAAATTAATTAAATTTATATTTAATTAATTGGAATTTAATAATCCTTTTATATCAAAGTTACCCTAATCATATTAGGGACTTTATTGTTTCAAATTAATTAAATCTATATTTAATTAATTGAAATTAAATATTCAGGATTATTAAAACATATTATTAATTAACTCTATATATATATTTTAGTAACGTACAACAAATTGTACATCTTTGCTCGTTTTAATCCTAGGATGTGACCCTGTAGGTTCTTGTAATGTTAGCAGTAATTATTAGAACAATTCTAATATTATATACAATGAGTGACATCTAGCAATATATCATTGTCACCTAAGTTACAAGAAAATATGATTCGAAATATCATCTTGGTGATTAACTCTTTTATGTATTACATCTTTATATCCTTTATATCTAGAATAGGCGCAAGTCTTGGAATAGTCACACTTGTATAGCCCATCTATTGTTTCTTGATATCTAGAGTAGACTTTAATTAACGAATAGTTTATGATATCTCATATCAACTTATTCGAGCATGGCCATATGTTTCTAGTCTTACTCAATCAAGTGGCATGTGATATATTTCCTATTATGTAGGAAGGACAAATCTTATCTTAATCATACACACTCACTACATATATTGAGATATATTTAATAACAGTCTTTATAGAGCAACCAGTTACGGAGCTTGTTTAGCTGCATCAAAACATACAACAATATATGTTGGAATAGTATTGATCTCAAGTCTGAGGATCATACATATAGTCATCACCATGAGCAATGTTATGACTATCACATAATAATCCAAGACATATGCTCATGATGGGTCAATCCAATACATTGTTCTCTAACAATATAATCATGTATCAATTCTGACATCTCTATGTCAATGACAACTCGTTGTCATCAATCAGTAACATGTTAGTCTTAAGCGTATTATTATTTTCCATGCCCATAATAATACTTGACTAGGGATCTTTTAATAATAACAATTATGTCATTATATGAACTTTATTATCTTCTAATTTATGTTAAACACATATATATAACTGAAAATAATAGTGGCAATGCCTTTATTCAATAAAATCGGTAAATAAAAGTATTATTACAATCATCATATGATTGGTCTTTGGGCATACTCTAACATAAATATCAAGTCTCTTGTTCATTCCCTTATGAGAGTAGAAGGTTATATCGGTTCTTGCGAGAGAAGGGTATGGTATTCGATCGTATCTTTATGAAAAAAGTCGTTGTTTTATCAATTTTTAATCGTGTTACTTTGCCAAATATCTATAACTCCAATCATTTACAGAGTTTTTTAATTCAGTTGATATTCAAAAAATTTCAAGTCTACAAATTTGATTCATTGCTTGCCATCTTTAAAGTGGCATAAATTCATTTAAATGTCCTTACAAAAAAACTGAAAAAAAGAAGAAAAAACAAATTCAAACAAAATATTGCAAATGATGTAATGATCTTCTTCTCAAGTTGTTGAAGTCGATCCAATTTTTGTTACGCATCTTCTACATGATTCTCTTGAATGCAAAGCAGTTCTCGATAGTGTGTCCTAGGACACCGCCATGATATTCACAATGGGAATTCTCATCATACCACCTGGGGTATGGGGACTTCATGGGTTCCACCGGATATGGGACACTACGTGGGTGTCAAAAAGTTGTTGATAAAGTTCATTGTAGGTCATGGGAATATGGTCAAAATGTTCCCTTTCCCTTTCCTTTTCCTTCCTAGGTTCTCTGGAATCTTGTCTAGAAGTACCTGACAGTACAGCTGCAGTTGATTTTGGGTTGGAGATTGTAACGCCATTATTAGTGTTGTAGGTGTTGACGTTGTTAATCTTTTCATCCCTCTTCTTCATAGGAGGTTTCTTGCTTGCCTCCTCTTCCTAAATTTTGCCTTGCTTTATGGTCATTTCTACTATCTCCCCAACCATGACTAAGTCCGAAAAATTACCATATGTGATTGCAATCAGGTGCCCGAAGTAAGGAGCCTTCAGTGTTTGCACGAAGAGCTTTCGGGTTTCTTTCTCATCCAATGGTGGATGAACTTACACAACCAAATCCCTCTATTTTGTGTGTATTGTCTAAAACTTTCGTTATGCTTCTTCTCCATACTTTGTAGCATAACTCGATATGGCCTCATGTCATTGATGTGTTTTATTGTTCCATAAATGACTTGGATGGCTGATTGTACCATCGGATGGCTGAGCCCGATAGACTCTCCTGGAAGCAGTGGATCAGGAGTTGGCCATTTCCTACATACACTGTCATCTTTCGACAGAACATGGTAATGTAGGCTGATGAACAACTGTTCCCATCAAACCTCTCGAATTTCACGGCATCGACTCTATAGTAGTCATGGTCTCCTTCAACTACCTTCATTTGGTCCTCAAATTATTTGATTTTCTCTTTCATTTTCTTTGCCTTGTTTTCTTCGTCTAAATTCGGTATATGGCAATCACCCAGATTATTCTCAGGGTTAGAAGTCTGTACCCTTACAGTAGAGGAGGCCTTCATTTTTCTAGCGGACGAGTCCCCTTGAAGTTCAGGTAAGATTCCATGTGAGATAACCACCTGCGGGGTAGGTGGCATAGCTACCCCTTCCGACTAACCTGCCCCAGGTGCACTTGCTTGATGTAAGCCAGATAACTTGACCACAATCTGATCAACCAAGGACTTTTAGCTCTTCGTGATTGTATCCAGAGTACTCTGATTGTTCTGGTTTATCTTCTCTTCTAACTCCCTCTGCAACTTGAACATATTCTCCTCGAGTTGAGCAATTTTGGCTTTCATCTTCTTCTTCTTTGAACGAGTGTTATGAGGATGAGGTGTGTCCAATGCTTGGGGTGATATATCCAGTGTTTAGGGTGGTATGTCCAGTTTTTGTTCCTTTTTTATTAGACATCTCTTGTTAGTTAACGTGAATGTAATAAAAAAAAGAAAAGAAAAATAATGCACTAATGCTTGATGCATGAGGTTTTGAGGCACTGATCCAAAAATGATTATGTTACTATAAATAATCTTTATTGGGACAAAAATATTATTTCTTAAGAGAGAAAAAATATCTTAAAGGTGTATTTTGACTAAGTTTTCTAGACCCCGAACGGTTTCTGATAGGTTGACTCATTTTCTACCATCGTCTGTCACTGGTTGAATACCCTGTCGAATCATTCTGGCTTCTCTGGTTAAACTGTGCAAGTGTCGAGCTGCTTTTTGTACTTGTTCCAAGAAATCTCGAATGGTTGCATTTCTGACTTTCACTCTATTCTGAGCATGTTCCCTAATGAAAACACCATTGAAAACCTTCATTAAAGGGAACTATCTGAAGTTCATTTGCCTGTTTCTTGAAATCGTCAACAATGGCCTCTAATTTTAGCTATCGTTTTGCCATCTTGTTCTTGTTTTCTTTGAAGGGACTCTCCAGGTCAGTAACCTTTTTCTCGTCTTGCCCCTGCAACTTTTTCCAACCCATTTTTGAAAAGTTGACTTTTGATGTACTTGATTGTGGGAACCACGTCTTCTTTATTGAATGTGATACATAGTTGCCTTGCAGATTGTCCTCATTTTCTTTCTGAGTCTTTTCTGACCATAGTCGGACATCTGCGTTTTTCATCTCTTGCATTACAACCACTTTATCCATTAATGCAAACTATTTACATTTAAAAAACACGTTTTTTGTGGACCAACACCTCTTTTGAATGATGTAAATGATGAAAATAAATTGAAAGAGAGCCAAAAATAAAAAAGAGTTAGCGAGGTAAATCAAAACAATAATGAAAATAGAAAGTCCTACCCCACATGCTTATTATTCCTACCCGGGCATAATCTCTATTCCGTATGTTAATTTTGAACAAGTCATAACCGCATAAATTTCTAGTTTACATGCTTTGAACATAAAATAAAGTAGGGCCCAAGTTCTCCTTGTTGGTGCCCTTGGGCTTGCCAGACCCTTAGTCCTAAGCCCATTACAAGCTTATGTGGACTAAGTTAAACTCGAGAGGATACATTCTCTTATGTCTATGCGTTGAATAAATTCACACGAAGACATAATGTATATGAATCCTGAAGGTTACATGCTAGGCACGCATGGAGAATAAATTATCACGAAGGCGTCGCTTTCACCCCCACTTAAAAAAGGTTTGGAACTCGGGTATAGAGCCATAGATGAAAACTTTTCCAAAAATCTGAAATAATTGAAAAAACGTCAGTACAACTATTTATTTGAAAAAAAAAATAATCAAAGATAAACAATCAGAATCAGATAAATAAATTAAAATTTATACTCGTAATTTTTGTTCAAAAGACAACCGAAAATTAATTTTGGCCTGACTCACTTACCTGTCCCCAGTGGAGTTGCCAAGCTGTCGCAACCGCTTTTCGGGTGACAACGAAATTTGTCTTCGACTTGAAAAAAAATGTTAGAGCTGCCACCGATCATTTCAAAACATTATTTAGGTTGATCGGGCACCATCTTACATGATCTGCATTGTACCATAAATATGTCGGATTTGGGTGTCGGTTACGATCAAGGAATGATTAGCATCCTTGAACCGCCCTTTTAGTACCGTTTTAATTTATCGGTTTTCTTAATTACGAAAATTAAAAATTTAAATTAAAAACCCAATTCCAATTATTTACCTTTGATTGTTTGAAAGTATACCTAAAAAGACGAAAATGTTAGATAAGAAATAATAAATAAATATTAAATAAATCAAAGGAAAAAATTTAAAAATAAAAATATTAAAAGAAAAGAAAAGAAAAGAAATAAATATTAAATAAATTAAAGGGAAAAACAAAATAAAAAAAAAAAAATTTTAAAATTTAAATTTTAAAAGTAATAAAAATAAAAATAATAAAAAGTAAAACAAATAAAACAAATAATAATTAGAAAAAAAATAAAAAATAAAAAAACATACTAAAATTAAAAGGGAAAAAAGAATAACTAAAAATAATAATATAAAAAAAGCTAAAATTAGAAAGAAAAAAATGAATAGCTAAAAATATAAAGGATCAAATTGAAACAAATTGAAACAAATTGAAATTGATGGATTAAATTGGTACTAAAAATAATCTACAAGAGAAAAATAAAAAGTTAGGGGGCCAATTTGCAAAATATAAGAAAGTAAACATGGATAAAATTGAACAAATTGAAAATTCAGAGACAAAATTGAAACAGGTGACCAAAACGAATTACACATCAAAATATAAGGAACTGCAGAAATAATTTAACTATTGCCTAATTACACAATGGTCTCTCCCCTATAAATAGCCCAAAACAAAAAAAAACATTTTTACCAAAAACAAAAAAAGTCCCTAACCTCTCAAAAAACTCTCTCGCCCACAATTGACTGGTCGAAGGCCAGTCATCTTCCTTGGCCCAGTCTTCGCCGCCCGCTGCTGCTCCGGCCGCCGCCTCCGGTGGTCAGAAAAAGCAAAACTTACCCTTTTCGAAAGCCCTCAACCCCATGAAACCAAAACCAAAACCCAAATCCCCACAAATTAGCATAGATCTAGGTTTTAAACTCTCGATTTTTACTTTTCCTAGTAGACCTTTCGAATTCCGGCGACTCCTTTTCCGAGATACACTTCGATGATAACTTCAGCCTTCTTATTTCTCGCCTTTGAACACTGTTTTTGCCTTGGCTTGTTTGTGTTATGGTTGTATGCTCTTTGATTCTCTCGATTGTTTCTGGTTTTTTTTATATGTTTTATTTGGTTCCTTGGTTGCCTATGTTTGTTCGTTTTTCTCTGTGGTGTTGGTTCTGGTTCTGTTGTGTTGATGTTCGTTGTGTTTGGTTGCCCGATGATCCTTCGTGACAGACTTGGTAGGGTATTTATACCCCACCGCCGGTGGCTCATTCCCGGTGATCTCAGGATCGTTCCCGGTTATTTCGGGACGTTAGTGAACTGTTCGTGGTTGTGAGTTATTTCGGGATGGGTCAGTCCCTTGGTGCGGCCGGAAAACTTGTTGGCCATTTGTTAACCTCCGATCTCCACGCTTCGCGCGTGGCTTCCACGCGCCATATGTGTGGCGCTTTAGCAAAATATAAAAAACCCTAATCCGGGTGGGCTTGCTGGGTCAGGCCTGCCTACCCGATTGGGCAGCCTACACCCTTGCTGGACCTGGATCGAATTTAAAAAAGAAAATAAAAAATTAATAAAATAAAAACATATAATAAATAAATATAATAATAATAATATTATATATATTTAAAAATATTTCAAAAATCATATAATATATATTTTTCAAAAATCATTTTCAAAACTATAATATATATATATATATATATATTCAAAATGTTTTCAAAACTATATATTATATATTTTTTTCAAAAATCATTTTCAAAACTATAATATATATATAAACCAATTTTTAAACAATATATATGTTTTCAAAAATCATTTTCTAAAAATTATATATTATATTTTTAAAAATATTATATAAAATTATATATATATATATATATATATATATATATATATATATATATATAATCTAGACTAAAATGAGTGTATATAATCAATGGAAGTTTTGTTTTTATGTACATCCCCAGACAACCTTGTGAAAGTTGTGATAAAATTCATGCAGCCAACAATATGTAGACACGTGGAGGACGGAGAGACATGGGGCGGCGGAGGAAAGACAAGAATGACGTGAATTGGTATTATAAAATTAAATTGAAGATCAGATCCCACCTGACCTAAAAGCTGATTCCTTTCTTGACCATCCATAATAATTTTGTCTAACCTAGGGGAGACTCTTATTTCATCATTGCTTTAGTTAATTTGATTTTAGTTGGATGAAAATGTTAATTTGACTTTATTTAATACGACCCAACCGTTACTTCTCACGACTAATAAGTCACATGTATAAGTATTATCTTCATTCGATTAATAAATTTATGTTTAAAAAATTATATTTAAATATTTTAAAAAAATTATATATAAATAATATGAAGTTTGAGAATATCATGACAACATTTTATTGTTTTTGAACTGCCAAATTTATTTTTTAAACTTAATCATACTTGTATCAGTACGACATTCAAAGATAGTTTTAGATATTGAGATCTCGAGTATTCCATAAGAAAATTGTCTTTGACTATCGTTCTTATGCAGTATGATTAAGTTTAAGAACTATCTTTGACGACTCAAAAGCAACAAATTTTTGTCTTGATATTCTCAAATTTCACATTATTTATGTATGAACTCTTTAAAGTATTTAAATCTGATATTCGAAATATGAACTCATTGAGTGATTAAAAATCAAGCTTATACACACATAACGATGGTAACGATGGCGTTGTCCGACCAACTTATACAAGTTTTAATATCATAGTTGAACTAATAACTAGTGCAGATATGATTATACAGATGAATTCGTGGATCAAATAAGTTTTAAATAAGTCAAAGGTATAATAACTAAAATAGTCTTTAAGTACATGATTCTAATAAAGGTATATAGACAATCATCCCAACGAAAAGTGAAAATGATGGGAAAAGTAAGGTTACAGTAGTAGTAAGCAGTTCACTCTTTTAGTTTAGACGAAGTATCATATTCGATAGTCCTAGTAAATCGTTAGATGATAGATTTAACTATGGTATATCATGTAGATTAACCAATTATCAAGTGAAGGGACTGCAATCATTCGAAGAACATTAAACTCTATAAATTTTCTGAAACCTTGGAGACTTCAATAGGCGGAGACCAAAAACGGAGATGTAATCTATGGAAAAGAAGAAAGTAAAACGAAAACAAATATGTGAAATGATTTGGGGAAGTAGTGTGTTACTCGTACTTGAGTTTGAATGTTAAGTATGAACATTTTATTTAAAGGTTTTTTTTGGGTATGTTATCCTAATATGTGTAGAGTATGAATCGTGAACATTGGTTTCATAGGATATTTAAAAGTTTTAGGTGATCACTTGGTATATTTCCATAGTGTTATGTCATTAACAAAATCCAAATACGAAGACGAGATTGGGAAGAGTTGTTAAGCTTCAAGGCTAATGTGAGCTTAAGGATAATTGATCATCTGAGCTTTCATGGGGCCGGGTTGATGTATCGGACTTGGACCCATCTGTAATCAAAGACTTGGCCAGCATCTGATGGACCTCAATCACATAGTTCACTGGTCAGTTAGAAACGAACCAAAGATCCCACATTTCTAAAGAACCAAATGCTACGAGCATTCATAAGACGGAGCAAGTCGATTATTGACCCTTCGGGGACATCCGATAAAATTGAAACGATACAGAGAAGATTAGCATGGTCCCTACGCCAGGATGACACGCACAAATCGAGAAATGGTCCAAATTTTTTCTGTTCTTTTTCCATCTCCTTTTCGCTTCAGAATTTAGAGGTTTTTGGTTTATTTATTTTTCTGGGTTTGATTCGATGTTCATCTTCATCTTCAGATTGTAGTTTAGAGTTTTTTTCCCTGGGTTTGGTCTGTTTAAACTCTCTCGAACAGTGAATACCTCAATAGCGATCTATATGCTTGCTTATTATCATTTCTCTGAAAATTTTCTGGGTTTGATGTTCATCTTCACTGGTTTTGTCAACTGAAGATTGTAACTTATAGTTTCTGTTTCTGGGTTTGGTCTATTTTACTCTCTGAAACAGTAAATACCTCAAAATTATTTGATTAGATTTTGTTGGAATTAACTTCTGCTTTTGAATTTTGTCCTTCAATTTCTAGAGTTAAAACTGATGGAAAAAACTTATATATGTTTATGATTAAATTACAAGTTGTCGATTGGTTTTATGCTTGCTGTAAAGCATGGAATTTCATGCTCAAATACACTTTTGTGTAGAAATTTGACTTACCATTGATCACATTTCACATTGTAGTTGAATCATAGGATTCTTTCTAAAGCTTTGCAATTTAAACAATGTGATCTTCACAAGGATTTCTATTGCATAGTGTTAATATTACTACTAACCATTGTCTGACATGTTTGCCAGATTTGATGAACTGGGGTATGAATTTCTACACTAATCCATGTTTGTCTTTGGGAAATTGCAAGTGTTTTTAACAGGGTTTTAAATTTGCAATGTGTTTATGCAGTCAATTGATATCCCTTTTCGTTTTCCTTCAAAGTGACTCATTTTATGATCAGATTTCGTGTTTCTTAGTATGGGAATTTGTCGAAAACGACAGTGGATTGGGAGCTTTTATGTAACATACCCATGAGAGAGCCGACGGACGAGAACACAGTGTGGTGCGAAGGTACTTTAAATTATATGTATACAAACAGTGATACAGAGAGTAATACTATACATTTATGGAATCATTTGTTATAGTAAGTGGCATATCTTAGAACTAGAGTTTGCATCTAGGGCAGTGATTGATTTAGGCCTTTTTTTAACACTAAATCATATGAAATTCCTTATTACTAGATTCGGGTGTCATCTTACAAAGGAAAGGTCGTTTTTGTGGTAGAAAAGAAGTCGTACCTTAAGGATAGGGGAGGGGATGTAAGTTTTCGGATTCGATTTTTGTTGGGCTGTTGCTAATGAATAATGATAATACAGTGTGCATTACCGAGTACAATCTTCTGGTGATTATACTGAGTAACTCAGAGTGTATATCTCAGATCGATAATGTTCTGGAACGAATAATGCTGTTGAATGAGATGGAAGTGGTTAGAATGCTCGTTTTAAGTTTCATTTTAGATATACGAAATATCTCTTATCGATGTTCGGATGGTTCATTTTAGATATACCAAGTGTACTGAACAATTTCGTACTTGTTGAAACCTGGAACTCAGAGATTTGCTGCTTTAAAGAAAGAGTTGGATGAAACATCAGAGGCATTATAAAATACGGAAAGCCGTTATCCGATTACGGATCGAACCATCAGAGACCTTTCCCCATTCGCAAAGATATCAACTATCAAAGCCAGAATCTCTGTTGCTCTACACAGGTATGTCAAAACATGAGCTATATACATGAAAAAGCTCCAATCTTTGGCTTCGAACTTATCACTCACACTTAAAAATACTCGGGGGATGACTTCTGCATAATGCAGGAAATAATAGACGAAGACGACAAGAAGCTGAAAGAGTTGAGAAAAACGAATATTTGAGACTCCTAACGAATAGGTGTGACTGTTCGATCGAGTCGAGTAAAAAATTTCGAGTTATTCGAGTTGACGAATCCTATTTAACAACTCGGACTTGATTTGAAATTTTTTCAAGTCAAGTTTATAAAATTCCAATTTAAGTGACTATTTTACAACTCGGACTTTATTTTTCGAGTTTCTGTTTAAATTTAATCGTAAATATTTACAATATTATAATATTATTTGATTCCGATTTAAGTGACTTTCTATAATCATATATACAATACAAATATATTTCTTCATATATTTTTTTCATACATGTCATCATACAAAGTCCTTGGATTCAACTCAAACTTGAAAATAAATTGACTAATTACTAAAAAAAATTCGAGTTATTCGAGTTACATTTTTCAACTCGATTTGAATTTAAAAAAATTTCGAGTAGAATCGAGTTTATGAAATTGTAACGCGAAATCAATTCAAGTCGAGTTTTTTTTTTGGAGTCGAATTGAGTTGAAATTTTTTATTTTTCAAGTCGAATTGAGTTTTGCTCACTCTTACCTAACGACTCTTACCTAAAGGGTTGAAAGAAGGAAAAAATAGAGTTTTCTGTAAGCATGTCTTTTTGTTACGTTGCACTTAAATCTTTATGTTCACACATTATATTCATACTTTATGACATGCATATTGAAGTAGAAATACGTCGTCGAACTTTCCAATGTTCGGATGTTTTCGTTGGCAGATTAATCCATCGTCACACAAGGATTTCTACCACTCGAGCTCAGAAAATAATATCTTAGATACTTTTTGGATTATGTCTTCGTAAGATTTTACTGTATTTTGGATATGTAACTCCATTAATATTTTAACTTAGAGCTCATGATAATTTATTTTAAATATTTGATACAACGGTTGAACTCTTTGGATTCTTTGGTCAGTTCTTGAGCGTTACGTTGGTATATATTATAAATAAATAAATAATAACCTTTCCGATAATTAAAATTATATTTATTTTATAAAAACATATTAATAATAATATAAAGCAAAATATTATAAGAATTTCTACTAAGAATTTCTACTCGGCTTTATGCAACCTTACATTAATATGTAAATGGTTACAAGAAAATTATTAAATTACCAACGATTTGCTTTCTGCAAATTTCTATTACAGCTGTTAACACTTTAATGGGTTTTGTCCCCCTTAAAAATATTTATTGTATTTCTTTGTCGATGTTATTATAGTTTTCCCAACAACTACTACTATAAGTAGTTTTATTATTATTTATTTATCAAAATCCCGTTCTTTTATTTCTCTAGGGACTGAATCCTAGAAGGCAAAAACCATGTCAGGACTGTACAATTCCAGCTTCTCCCCTGCGGGAGCTGCTTCTCCTCAAATTAGAAGCACTCCAGAGGTTGAGAGGTAATCCAACTTTAACTTCATAATCTTCTTCTCATCCAATATTAATTCCAGACAAATTAAAAATAGGCCGACTGTTGCTCGTCTTTCTCAATTTCCTTTTTTTTTTAATTTTTTGTGTTCTTCTGGGTTTAACAATTTTTTTATCTGTGTGCGTTTTTGGCTGTTTTTTTTTTCTTCCCCAGTCAGTACTTATCAGAGCTGTTGGCAGAGCATCAAAAGCTTGGACCTTTTTTGCAAGTTCTTCCGATATGTAGCCGACTACTAAATCAAGGTTAGTACTTTACTCTCACACTCTTGGATCTAGGCTTTTTTCCTGGGTTTGTTCTCCTTCTAAATTACCCATGTTAGATCAGTCTGATGGAGTGGAGTTAATGCTTATCATGTTTGATTGTATTATGGTCTTGGCTCTGATAATATACTTGACTCAATGTTTGTTGGTTTTCTGTATGTTCCAATGTGTTATGGATAGTGTCTCAACACTTGAACTATTTGTTCATGACAAAGTCACTCGTGATCACTGTTAAATGGGCTTTAAATCCCATCTTATTCAACCGGCATGCATGTCGAGTATCAAGAATTCATAGCCTAGGTTCTACCTGGGTTCTTATGGGATCTTTACCCCTTTTGATTGAAGTGCCATGCATTTTTCATAGATACATTTGAAGAGTTTCTTAAGTTTTGGATTTTTGAAAACTTATTGCAGTTGGAGTTTGACTTATCTCTTCAGAAGAAAGTCTGAGTATTGGAAAGCTAGGATAGAAAAGGAGTAGCACTTGTAAGAATTCTTCAGCTGAAATTTGATTTCAAAAAATATTTACAGTATTGAATCTGAGTGCAAGAATGTGAGCTAATTATCCTGATTAGTTTGGACAACAAATGTTTTTTGTACGCTTCCTCACTCCACTTGTATTCTTTACATGCTGCAGGATGTTTTCAGAAATCAGATTCTATTTTTTTTTTGTAGTTCTTGCCTTGAAATGGTTAATAAACATAGATTGGCTTCGTTTTACTTGTGGTCGATGTTCTATCTTCTTCACTTTACAATCTCTCAGTATCCACTGTGTCCTTTATGTCTTCCTGAATTGATTGCGAATGCTATACTCCTTTCATTCACTAACTTGTTTTCATGATGTCATTCCTTTCTCGTATATACCTTTCATATGCAGAGATATTTCGGGTCTCAGGAATGATGTCCAACCAAGGATTTGGCAACTTTGACCGGATGCGGCATAGAAGCCCCAGTCCTATGGCTTCTTCAAATCTTATGTCAAATGTTTATGGGACAGGATTAAGCAGGTGGAACAGCCTTCCTCAAGAGGTAGCTATTTTTTTTAACAAAAATTCATTTTAGCATCTTTATTTTGTACATGTGTTTGCGTGTTTATATATAGATAATCCACATTTTCTCTTGTTTGGTTGATTTGAGTTCTTTTCTTGTAAATGCACAATATCTGTTTCATGCCTATAAGTTGACAACTGGGGTAAGCTAAAACTGAAGAGGAGTTCTTTATGCTTTTAATTCTCTGAAATTCGCTTTAAGATTATATCTGGTAATCGCCAATGTAATATGGATGTCTAAAAAATTGCTCAGGCATACCATAACATCATAGTCTTGTTGTCCTATGGCATCATAAAGATTACAAATGGACAATAAAGTTCTGTGCTTTAAATTCCAGGTCATCTCAAAGGGTAATGAGTTTAGGTTCATACCTTATCTGAAACACACTATAGGTTTAATTTTTCTGTTCAGGAAATACTTGTAAAAATGCTGGCTCATGTTTTCAATGTGTTGGCATGTGCAACTTAGGCATATCTGAATGAACATATTAGTCAATCTGAATAATATGATTTTGTTCTAAAACTATGCTTTTCTTTTATAATATTTTTGGTTGCTAAGTTCAATTCATGAAATAAGAATGAGGAAAACGGCCAAATTGTCACTAAATTAAAGCACTCCTGCCAAATAGTGAATATTTGAGATTCATCTATCCTCTTTTCACCTGGGTGATGACTAGCAAAACAATAGTGTAATCTCCGATATTTTATTTAAATATGGATCCTCGTAAGTAAAGTAACACTGATGAGAATCATGCTTATTTCTTGTCGAAAATGATATGGTTGCCAAAATATTATTTTCTTTTTAAAGTGTTTGACATACAAAGAGTTCCACTAGATACATTTGCTTTCTATCAGTTTATTTTTGGTTGGTAGGATGTATTCAATTTTGTCCCCCCTTCTTATTTCTACTGGCTAAACATTCTAAATCTATATATTTTAGCATTTTAGTACCTGTTCTTTAATGAAGCATTGAGAAGTTATTATTGGAAAGTCAAGTGAATTGAGGCATCTGATCTTTTGTGTTACGTTTTTTTTTTAATTCTGACAGAGACTAAGTGGACCTCCTGGAGTGACAATGGACTGGCAAGGTGCTCCAGCTAGCCCTAATTCATACACAGTGAAGAGGATTTTGCGTCTTGAAATTCCTGTTGATACATATCCAACTGTAAGCCTTGTATAAAAAATGCTAGTGCTTTGGATTAAAATTGTGAGATTTCAATTGAATGAACAAACCTTTATATGCTTATTGATTTCTAGACTCTGCTTTTCCTTTGTTTTTAGTTTAATTTTGTCGGTAGACTTCTAGGCCCCAGAGGCAATTCATTAAAGCGGGTAGAAGCTACTACCGGCTGCCGTGTATACATTAGAGGCAAAGGATCAATAAAGGATCCAGACAAGGTAAAACTACCTAAGTTTCTGCTATTGTTATTTTTATCATGGTTTTCTGCCACTAGTTTTGTGCTGCACGTCTTAATTATGATTCAGCTAAAATTAGCTTGAAGATGCAATGAATTTCTAGATGCCTAAATTCAAGGACCACCACCCCCCCAAAAAAAAATCACCTTTTTCTTTTGACATTAAAATTGAATTGAGAATAGTTCTCATTTTTTTTTCAACTGAAGGAAGAGAAGCTGAGGGGCAGACCTGGATACGAGCACTTGAATGATCCACTCCACATCTTGATTGAGGCTGATTTACCTACTAATGTTGTTGATATAAGGCTTAGACAGGCGCAGGAGATCATAGAGGAGTTACTCAAACCCGTGGTATGTACCTCAGTCTTTTATCCTTTTTTTCTAGAAAGTATATTAGCCAGGTTTACTTTGATATAGGCATTCGTCTCAAAACTGCATTATTTGTTAAGTATAAATTTCCTTCTTTTGCCTTTGTGAGCTCTTTCCTCATGATGGCGCTGCAGAACAATTTGCCTTGCGTTCTATTGTTCTTTTATCGACTTGCAGGCTTTTATGGTGTTAAAACTGTTGATAAATATTTGATTTTCCGAGTTCTTAACTTCATATTCGGATACTTAGGATGAGTCGCAAGATTTTATCAAGAGGCAGCAATTGCGTGAACTGGCAATGCTAAATTCGAATTTCAGAGAGCAGAGTCCTGGTCCAAGTGGCAGTGTTTCTCCTTTTAATTCCAGTGGGATGAAGCGCCCCAAAACAGGATATTGAGAGTTTAACCAGAAATCATCTACGCTTCTCCAGGATTTCATAGCCAAGTATAACTTCTGATTCTCTGATACATATCAATTCAGCACAGCTGGAAAATATTAGGTTAACAGCTTCTGGTGGTGAGCTTTTCATTATTGAATTGTTTTGCTCTTGAGACAAAGGGGAAAAAATATGTAGTTGGCTCTTTAAGTTTAGGTTTGGTGAGGTCAGTTTTCCTGTAAACTCAATACGTTAATTCGATTTGTTCTTGTGTTAGCAGAGCTTCGAGGAGTGTGGAATATATATACGTGTTGCAAGTATTAGGCCGGGTGAGGTTGTAGGCGTGTCGTGTTCGTTCCGTTGCTCGTCCCCGTTGCTTTGAATTGTAGTTTATATGGAGAAGCATAGCAATGTAAGTTGGGTGTACAAGGAATGTACTCTCTTTTGGTTTGACCATCCCAAGCATATGGATGTTCATCTTCTCCTTCAGTCTGGTTTAATGTTTATTTGAGACTGTTTTCTCTTCGTGGTCCATTTGATTTGTAACTTTGTTTTATAGCTTTAATGAAGTAAATTTGTTGAAGATTCTCCAGTTCTACCTGTCAATTGAGTAGAACATCAGTTTTTTTTAGTGGAATTAACATTTATTATTAGAAAAAGGTCAATTACCATTTAAAAGAGATTATTTTTAAAGCTTTTATGATTTTGCAAATCTAATCTTCTGTAATTGTAGAATTAGCAGTTAATATATTTTGTTTTTTTGTTTTATTTTTGAAGACGTTCATTTTCGTTTATTTATTTTTGACGGTGATTGTATTTGTTTGCTTTACGTTACTGAGTATGTTTGTTTAACATTCATAAACATGTACGGTAACAAACACTCTTTTTTATCCTTTTATTTGCAAGCCAATGAAAAATTATAAAAATGTATCATTAATTCTTTAGTTTATTAGGCTTCACAGTTTTAACTTCAAAGTTTACCTAATGTTCAATTTAATTCCTACCTATACCAATACTTAAAATTGTAAAAAAATTAAAGGAGAATTAAGTAAATAAGTTTATAAATGAACCGATAAATGAGTGAATAAACAAACAGAACACACTTATAGTCATGTTTAATTGTTTATTAAATAAACATAAACGAAGTGTACACGGATGGTTGACAAACATAAAATTTGATTGAAGGCTATGTTGGTTTACAATTCTTACTTAAAACTCATTTAGCAAACTAAATATTTTTGGTTTTATCCAAAGTTAAAATGGAGCGGCCATTTGTCCGTTCTCCTGGATCGCTTGGCTCCATCGTTCTTATCTTGTTTTGATATCCACCATACAGCATTTTCCTCTATCAGCACACTATGAATGGATTTCTTCCTATTATTACAAACAAACATCTGAAAAAGAAGTCCCGGGGAAATCAATGGCTACTAGTCCTGCAACATGTTTTCACTTGCAGCACATTTGGGTCACCAACAACAGAGGAAGAGAAACGGCCATCGCACTAAGACCTGCAAATGATCACCACGGCAACACATTTAGGATGAGCAAGAGATGTGGAACCGTGAAATGCAGCGCTGGGGGCGAGAGAGGGATAGTCGACTTCATCGGAGGAGATCTTTTGAAATTTGATCTGGGGCGTTGGCTATCGGACGTGGAAGAGCACAAAGCCCTGGCTATTTACACCCCGCACGAGGGAGGTTATGAGGGCCGCTACTTCACGCGTCTACGGTATCAGGGTTACTATTTCCTCGACCTCACCGCTCGCGGCCTAGGCGATCCCGAGACTACGCTCACCAAGATCCATCCTGTTTGCCCTGTATGCATTGCAATGCATGCCGAATGAACGCTCTATATTTATTTAACTTTGTGGTTTTGTCTGTTATATATTGACTTGTGTAATTGAATTGTATAGCCTCATGTTGGAAAGCAGCCGATAGCAAGGTGGTATTTCCCTCCGGAAGTTGATTATAGGCTGCAGGCTTTACCTCCTGATGCTAAAGGACTCATCGTCTGGGTAATCGAAGCCAAGGTAGAACAAACTAATCAACATTCATTCTTCCCAAAAATAAAAACACTAACATGGTGATCTGCATAGGTTCTGTCCAAGTCGGAGCTGCAGTTTCTTGCTTTGCTGCCCAGTCTCCGGCCTAAAGTGAGGGTCATTGCCGAGTGCGGAAACTGGTATAAAATCACCCCCTTCTTATGTCCCAAATTATTCCAATTTGAGTGATGATTTGAAAAACAGATTATTTGGTTTCTTACAACACAGGAGAAAATTCATGTGGAAACCACTCAAGGAAATTGCAGGCCTAACTGCAGAGGAAGGAGCATGAAACAAAAGTCATCCACACAATGTAGATTTTGAGAGAATCGACTGTAACACTCTTCAACTCTTCTGTGTAAGATCGGGATATGATGTAATTATTCTTTTTTTTATTTCTATTCTGTAATTTAATCCTTTTAGTTTTGAAAACGAACAAAATAAGTCGAATTACTTTATACCTAATGTTTTCGTGTGAGAAACATGAACGTAATTACCCAAGGTTGAGGGTAATGGCTTATTGATGAAGGGTGCTCGGGGTTGATGATCATGATATGATTATACCAATTAAAAACATTATCTGCTCAGTATATTGAATTATTTAGAATTAAATTAAAAAATCAAAAAGTGTCGAGGATTAAATATGTGATTATATCAATTAAAATTACATTAATATTTTAAAGGGTAAATTACATCAGATATCACCAAAATTTAGGTGTTGTATCGTTTATACTATTGGACTATCAATTCTGCTAATTATAATATTGAACTTTAATTTTCGTTTCGATTATACCATTGAACCGTTAAATCGTTAACGATATAATGATGTAGCTGATGGTTACTGATATAGAAATGTAACCCCTAGACCTGGCCTAGGAGTTACAACAACTGAATTAGAATAGTCATGTTGACCACGAAAATAGTTTACAAACGAAAAATTTATTTAATAAATCATTAAAACAAAATTTTGAATTATAATATCAGAAATAAACTCATGTCACAATTAAAAGTGGCGGAAGGCATATATTTAACCTCATACAGTATGAAATCGAGATTATACGTCCGATGGCCAAATGAGTTATACGTCTGAATAATCTGGAAATGTAAACAGAAACATAGTAAGCTACAAAGCTCAATGTATCCTCTAAATACAAATTCAAATTCAAATTATTCAGAGATTGTATCATAAACGATACAATAATCAAGCAACAGTAAAAACATAAACTTATCACCAGGAAATCGTACGGAGTTTCTCACAACCTTACTTTTTGTTATAAACAAACATAATAGAGAACATTACCTACTGAAAAGAACCTAAGACCTCCGAAGGTGGATTCAAAGCAGAAAATAGAATTCAGGATGGGGTGTTACCCTTCGAAATGGAGCCCAAGTTAACCTCTGAGGAGGAACTTAACAGAAATTAGGATGGAGTGTTGCCATCCAAAGAGGAGCCCGAGTTAATCTCCGAGGAGGAACTCAACAGAAATCGAGATAGAGATAATGCGCTTCGAAGAGGATCCCAGACAGAAACATGACATGGATATTACCCTTTGTAGAGGATCCCATGTAAAATCAGGACATGGATATTACCCTCTGAAGAGGAACCCACTCAGACGACATCAATATCTCAATACGCAAATAAAAAGTGATGCAGTATCAATAAGAAATTAGACATGTCACAGCTAATCACAATCAGAATATGAACATGCGTACAGATAGCATCATACAATATAAAAGCATAATAGTATCAAATGTGTCATACGGGTCAAGAGGACGCACCTATATCATTTAAACGACCAACTAAGCGTTATGTTTCATACAATCATTACAAATAGGTCCTACAGAGTGGGAACCCCTCATGTATAACTCGAGTTGAACGTGCAGAGTCGAGTTGAACTAGAGGAAAGTGGCTTGGATCTATCAGTAAGCAGTGCGAAGATACATAATCACCTAATACATAATATCATTGAGTAAGACCATTAATTATAGAATTTACTTAACATAAATAAAGCAATACAAAATGAAAAAACAGGACTTCCGAGTTATAATATAAAAAAATGAACTCGGAACGTCAAAAATTATAGAATTAAGAGTTAATGAAAGAGTCAACGATTAACAGTTAAAGGTCAACAGGTCAGTCAAACGAATAAAATTTTAGGCTAGGCATTATAAATTGAGTTGCAGGTCTATGTACAACTACCAATGCAGTATAGGTATGAACTCACATAAGATAGAATTGAACTAAATTAAATTAAAAGCTGACGGGTTACCATATTCTTAATATATCTTTTGTTTTTTTACCAAAATCTTGAAACATAAATTTCTCCATCATACAAATAATAGTAATGAATATAATAATGTTGTTATCACTATTTTCACCCACAATTACATGTTACAACGGCCAAGATACCATCAAAATTCAATTAATAAATTAGTGCATATGGCAAGAGCGTGGGGTTCCAACGACTTATTGATTTGGGTTAAAATCAAGGACCCAAGGCAGAACAACAAGGGCGATTCATTCATAGATGACGGAACGATGACATAATATCTCGGGGTGAAGAGACCACGAATGATAACAGCGAGGGCATGCTGGCACGAAACAGAACTCCAAATTTTACTTCCATCTTTCTTTCAGAAACAGAAAAAGAATCCGGACTTGTATGTTTATTCGTCATATATGGTCAGTGTAAGGCCACGACAACAATGTAGCGTTTAACCTTCCAAACGGCGCATCCTTGTTAAGACACGACAGGGGAAATGTGGATCTAAACAGACGAATAGCGCTTAAGGGCGTTAATAGTAATGGTTTTGGCACTCAAACAAACCAGAGTATTGGCTCACAAATGGATGATCGAAGGTTGACATCCATCACGACGAATGAAAATGTTGACGACCAGTGATGGACCTAGGCGGTAGGGCTGTAAATGAGACGAGACAGATCGCGAGCTACTCGAGATCGACTCGATCTTGGCTCGATAAATACTCGGATCGAATGGACTCGACTCGAGCTCGAACTCAACTCGAGTTCTTAACGAGCCGAAACGAGCTACTCGATATTCGACTCGAAAAGCTCGTGAGCAGCTCGAAAAAATATTATATTATAATTTTATATTTTTTAAAATTACATTATTAAAAATATATTAAAAATACATTATTGATGAATAAATATTCTTGAATTGAAAATGGTTAAAAATTATTTTTGAATAAATATTCTTATATTTATTTTAAATTGATAAAAAAATTATTTCTTTAATGACAAATATTTAATATATTTCTAATGATAATATTTGTAATAACTAATTTTTTAAATTGTTGTTATATTTTGAGGTTTTGGGTTCAAATATCATAAATATCAAGGGTTTGAGCATTTAATATCAAGATACTATATTGTACTTACCTCATAACTAATTATGTGATAAGGTTTAGGGTTTAGGATTTAGAGTTTATGCGATAGGATTTAAGGTTTAAAGTTTAGAGTTTAGGGTTTATGTG